TGCTGCGAGGAACTGGGCGCTGACCGTGCCGCCGCCGAAGTCGACGCCGAGCACGTGGCGGGCCGGCCCGTCTGCCGAGGGGGCCACCGACGCCAGGACGTAGTCCGTGGCCCAGCGAGGGCGCGCCGCGGCGGCGACCTCCGGCGGCGCGATGACAGCCGCGACCGACTTTGCGTGCTCTCCCCGGCCACGCGCTGCCCCGGCAACGGCGGCCTCGGCGTCGAACGCCCGCAACCACGGGTCAACGCTGGAGCTGCGGGTGACGATCTGGCCATCATCCATGAACCACACGTCGGCGAACTGCACGTTCCCCTGGGCGCGGGTGCGGGCCAGGACCCGCGCGAGGGCCAAGGCGCACAGCAGCGGCCCAAGCGGGTCGCCCTGCTCGGCGCCTCGGTCCACGAGCAGCGGCTGCCCGGACGGCAAAATCACTGTGGGTCACTTTACAACCAGATGGGTCACTTTACAACCAGCTTACAAAATCCGAGAAGGGCACTTTACAACCAGGAAGGGCACTTTACAACCAGGCCAATAAAAACACATATTGAATGCACGCGTGCCTTTCCCTGAAATCTCCGTGGGCAAGCGCAAGGGTGGCTTTGGGCTCTGCGAGGCATGTTGGTTGTAAAGTTGCCCATCGCGCACGAAGAAGCACTGCGCACGAGTTGGCGATGCGGCGACCTGGTGCGCTATGGCATGTTGCGTGCTGGTGGGCGGATTCGAGTTGTGACCTGCTCTCTAAGCTCTGTCGGTCAGTTCTGCCATTGCTTGCTCTGCCTTTTTTTTCTGACGGGCGAAGGCTAGTCGCGCAGGACATACGAATAAACCATGATCCCGTCCAAGACTGGAGCTGCATGGCAGTGGAAAGCTGTAGTGGGAGATGTGGTGGTAGCGGGGGCTACAATGGGAACTGCATGGTGTTGGGAAGCTGCGGTGGCAACTGTGGTGGTCGCCAGGCAACGGTGGGAACTGTGGTGGTAGCTGGGCTGCAATGGGATTTGCGGTAGTAGCGGGGGGTCAGTCGGAATTGTGGAGGTAGCGGGGCTGCAGCGGTAAGTGTGGTGGTAGCAGGCACAAAGGTGGCGGTGATGCGCTGTCACGGTGGCTCAAGCTGCTGCGCTGGCACAGTGGCTGAGGCTGCTGCCCGAGCAGGATACCTGCGTTGCTGCGCTGGCACTGTGGCTGACGCTGGAAGAACCGACCTTCGAAATAGTTGCATTTATTCGGAACGTTGAACCTCGATCTTCCAAGGCGAGGAGCGGCAGGGGGCCAAGTGGAGCTGGCGCACTTAGCCCCTTGCAGAACACCGCGGGGCTTCAGGGGCCAACGTGGCCCAAGAGACCCGCGGTGCCAATGGCCTAGTTCCCTGGAGCGCTGGGCCCTTGTGGAGGCCACTGGGCTCGCTTCCTGTGAGTGATCCCTAAAATGGGCAGCGCGTCGCCCTGAGCCTTCCTACGTATGCTGTCGCCTTATTCCCGTGCGAGCACGGGGCCCTTGTTGAGGCCGCTTGGCCCCTGCTAGCAAGCCCTGTCTTAGTCTGCTGGGCTCAGAGCGCCAGAGCGTCCAGGCGCTCGGGCTCAGAGGCATCGCTGGGGCCTGCTCAGAGCGTCCAAGCGCTCAGGCTCAGAGGCATCGCTGGGGCCTGCGCGGAGCGTCCAGGTCCTCGGGCTCAGAGGCATCGCTGGGGCCTGCGCAGAGCGTTCAGGTCCTCGGGCTCAGAGGCATCGCTGGGGCCTGCGCAGAGAGTTCAAGCGCTCGGGCTCCAGAGCGCCCACGTGCTCTGGATCACTTTTCAGAGCGTCCGCGCGCCCTGGAGCACTTTTGAGAGCGCCCACTTGCTCTGGAGCATTTTTCAGAGCGCCCACTTGCTCAGGGGCATTTTTCAGAGCGCCCACTTGCTCTGGAGCACTTTGCGGAACGCCCAAACACGCACGGCCACTCTGAGCCGGTTGTAAAGTGGTCCGTTCTGGTTGTAAAGTGGCCCGTTCTGGTTGTAAAGTGGTCCGTTCTGGTTGTAAAGTGGGCCGTTCTGGTTGCAAAGTGGACGTTCTCGATGAAAAACTATACTTTCCAATCCTATGTTGGTTGTAAAGTAACCCATCTGGTTGTAAAAAGGTTGTTCTGGTTGTAAAGAGACCGAATCTCGGGGGGTCCCGGGGGGGGTCCTTGGGGGGTCCCGGGGGCTCCCGGGGGGTCCCGGGGGGGTCCTGGGGGGGTCCTGGGGGGATCCCGGACTGGTCCCAAGGGGGTCCCCGGGGGGGTCCCGGGGGGGGTCGCCGCCCAGATTTGTTTTCCGGTCGAGAAGTAACAAGGCCAATAAAAGCTCCAAGACGAGCCAAGACCGCCCCAATACATCCCCGAGACGGTACAAGAGCGCAACGCATCCACGAACGATCGCCCCAAGACGTTCAAGACTGTCCGAAAACGGCCCAAGCGTCTCCCGAGAAGCTCAAAGAGCGCGCCAAGAGCAAGCCCAAGAGAGCCCCAGGAGCTAAATCGTTCATTTTAGCGTCTCCCGAGAAGCTCAAAGAGAGCGCCAAGAGCAAGCCCAAGAGAGCCCCAGGAGCTAACATCGTTCATTTTATGTGGGGCCTTTAATGATGACAGCCTTCTCGCCTTTTCAGCTGTCCGAGGGATCAAGACGGCTCTAGAGGCCCCCACGAGTGCCCCCATATGGCCCAAGATGCCTCAAAGAGGGCTCCAAGACGGCCCAAGAGCCTTCGGCATCGGGGAGCGCGTTAGACTACTTGTCAAATGTCTGGTAGAATTTCATTACCTAACAGCGAAGACTGATAGGTTTCTAGTGGTGTCAAAAGAGAGCAGCAGATGACTCCACAGGGGGGTCGGGGCGGGACCCGGGGCGGCTGCCGCCGACCTGGGACATCCTCGCAAAATCGCTCTTGGCGCTGCTAGAACTCCATTCCCGGCGTACATTTTGGATGCCCGGAGCCAACTGTAGGCCACTTCGTGGTCTTCGAGTTCCCAAAACTCCATTCCCGGGCCACATTTTGGATGCCCGGAGCCAACTGTAGGCCACTTCGTGGTCTTCGAGTTCCCAGAACTCCATTCCCGGGCCACATTTTGGATGCCCGGAGCCAACTGTAGGCCACTTCGTGGTCTTCGAGTTCCCAGAACTCCACTCCCGGGCCACATTTTGGATGCCCGGAGGCTGAGGCGCTGAGGCTGAGGCTGACGCTGAGGCAGGCTGAGGCAGACGCTGAAGCCGGCTGATGCTCAGGCAGGCTGAGGCTGAGGCTGAGGCTGAGGCAGGCTGAGGCAGGCTGAGGCTGAGGCCGAGGCTGAAGGCAGACTGAGGCTGAGGCTGAGGCAGGCTGAGGCTGAGGCTGAGGCTGAGGCTGAGGCTGAGGCTGATGCAGGCTGAGGCTGAGGCAGGCTGAGGCCGCGGGAGTATGCGAGAGCGCAGCAGGCTGAGGCTGAGGCAGGCTGAGGCTGAGGCTGAGGCTGATGCAGGCTGGGGCCGAGGCAGGCTGAGGCCGCAGGAGTATGCGGGAGCGCAGCAGGCTGAGGCTGAGGCAGGCTGAGGCTGAGGCTGAGGCTGATGCAGGCTGAGGCTGAGGCAGGCTGAGGCCGCGGGAGTATGCGGGAGCGCAGCAGGCTGAGGCTGAGGCAGGCTGAGGCTGAGGCTGAGGCTGATGCAGGCTGGGGCCGAGGCAGGCTGAGGCCGCAGGAGTATGCGGGAGCGCAGCAGGCTGAGGTTGAGGCAGGCTAAGGCTGAGGCTGAGGCTGATGCAGGCTGAGGCTGAGGCAGGCTGAGGCCGCAGGAGTATGCGGGAGCGCAGCAGGCTGAGCCTGAGGCAGGCTGAGGCTGAGGCTGAGGCTGATGCAGGCTGGGGCCGAGGCAGGCTGAGGCCGCAGGAGTATGCGAGAGCGCAGCAGGCTGAGGCTGAGGCAGGCTGAGGCTGAGGCTGAGGCTGAGGCTGAGGCTGAGGCTGAGGCTGATGCAGGCTGAGGCTGAGGCAGGCTGAGGCTGAGGCCGAGGCTGAAGGCAGACTGAGGCTGAGGATGAAGCGTTCTGAGGATGAGGCCGAGGCAGGCTGAGGCTGAAACTGAGGCAGGCTGGTGCTGAGGCAGGCCGAGGCTGAGGCTGTGACTGTGACTGCCGTTGCCGCTGCGACTGTCATCGCGAATGCGACTGCGACTGCGAGAACAGCAGAATTCTACAACTGGATTCTGATCTGAATCTTAAGGGGAATGCTTCCAGATATGTTTCTAGACATCGCTGTTAGGTTGCTTTGCCGGGATAATATGCTTTTCTAATCCCCACTCCCCCCCTCATCGCAGGGGGCCCGGATTCACAACGTGACCCCTAGCTTTGGTATCCGGATCTGCGCGAAATCGGCTGCAGGACGCGTCAAGATCGTCTGAAGACGGCCAAGCAAGCCCCCCAATATGCCACAGGCTCCAGAACAACTCAAAACGGCCCGAAGCCCTCGAGGAGCACTCCCAAGAGGGCCCCAAGAGGCTACATGTATTGATCTCCCATTGGGTTTTGAATGATTTAGGCGTTCTCGCCTCTTATGCTTCACGACACTTCAATACGGCCCAAGAGACCCCCAAGATCGACGCCAGACGGCCCAAGAACCCTCCAAGAGAGTTTCAGAATTACGCATGAAGGCGCCAAACATCCCGAGACGCCTCCAAAACGACCCTGAAGGTGGCCCCCAACACCGCTCCAAAAGAGTGCCCAGACAGCAGACCCGAGCGGACATTTCGACCCCTCAGCTGCGAGAGGCTCTCAGAAAGCCCGCAGATGCTCCAAGGCGTCCCCAAGAGTACCAAAGAAGCTTCCAACAAGCCCCCAGGAAGCCCCTTCGATCAGGGTCGGCGGCACCGGCCGTCAGGCCTCTCCAATATATATATATATATGTAAATATATATACATATACATATACATATATAGATATATATATATAAAAAGTGTGTATATATATATATTGAGAGAGAGAGAGCGATAGATAGAGTGGGACAGAGAGAAAGACAGAGATAGAAAAAGCGAGACAGAGAGAGAGAGAGAAAGGGGCAAAGAAGACTACACGCGCTGCACAAGCGCAACAACTGGAACTCGCAGCTGCGCGGCCCGGCTCCACCGCAAGCCAGCGCTCGAGGGACACCGGCGAGACGCCGAGGCCACCGTCGCGGCAGAGCTCGTCAGAAGTGGCAGCTCGGGGAGAGGGCGCTCCACTGGAAGACGAAACGACGCCAAAAACATAAACTTTCGACGCTCCGCGCGGATTTCTTGCATCTGCGCCGGAACCCCCTCCCTGGCGCGCGGCTCCGCAGGCGCCGCCGGGGGAGCCCAGCGCGGATCCGAGAAATCCGCGCGGAGAGCCGAAGGCGTCCGCTTATGGCGCTCTTCCTTCCTCGGTCCACTCGCTCGGGGATGGACAGACCTCCCTTTAGTAAAACGTGGTTCAGTGAAAACGACCCGAGGCCCAAACCTGGCGGGCGCAAGCCTGGAAAACAACGGCCGCGGCGCCCTCTCGAGAACCGAAAACGGGCAATTCACTAATCGACGTGTCACTGTCGGGGGTTCTGTCCGCCCCCGACTCGCCATCACTGCAGGGAGCAGCCGCAGGGCGCCGACGCCCCAGGCGCCAGCTTCTCGAGCACGGCCTCCTTCCCAGACAGGGAGCAGAGGAACAGCTCCTGCTCGCGCGTCACCACGGCCCCGGGGCGCGCGATGCGCACCTCCGGGCGAAGCCAGGTCGTCCCCTTCCGTGACACCCCGCCTCCTCCGCCTCCTCCGCCTCCTCCTCCCTCCTCCTCCTCCTCCTCCTCCTCCTCCTCCTCCTCCTCCTCCTCCTCCTCCTCCTCCTCCTCCTCGTCCTCCTCGTCCTCCTCGTCCTCCTCCTCCTCCTCCTCGTCCTCCTCGTCCTCCTCCTCCTCCTCCTCCTCCTCCCTTTTCTCCTCCTCCTCCTCCTCCTCTCACGACCCCCCCCCACTCCCCGCCTCCGCACCCAAACTTGGGCAGACTGCCCAACGAGGAGCCCAAAGAGGGGCCAATCGGGGCGGGTCGGCCTGCAGGGGCGCGGGGACAGCAGGCGACCACAACCACAGCGAGGACACACACCTGGGGGGGATGTCTTGCGCAGGCCAAGAATTCGTCGAAACACCGGAATCAGCCTCGTACAGGCTGTGGTCGATGTGGCGCCCCAGGACGGCCAAATCGACCACGACCACAGCCAGAGTGCCCAAGTCAAGGTCGGTCGGCTCTCTCCCCCGAAGGTGGCTGTGGGTCCTTGAGCCGCCTGGCCTCCTGAGAAGTGTTCTAAGCCTTCCCCGAAGACACAGAAGACCTCTCCGAAGGCGCGGGGGGCTTCTGAGAGGCCCCGCCGCCTTCCAAGAGGGCCTTCTCCTCCTCACTCCCCCACCCTCTGACTGCCTACCAGACCACCCCAACCCAACGCGAAGACCCGAATTTCGCGTTGGGGGGGGGGAAGGGTTGCATATGCATTTGTTCAATGTTCCCCGACCCCCCCACACTGGAAATGGAGAGCAAATTGAGGCCTTCGGGTTGGGTTGGGGTGGTTTGGTGGGTGGTGACCCTCGCCCACCGCCGACAAAAGGGGCCCCAAGAGGGCGAGCCCGGGCGGGTCGGCCTGCAGGGGAAGGGGGGGCCCCAAGTTGAGCAGGGACCGACCGTCCTGGCATTCCTATAGGCCTACCACGCAACTTTCTCGGAACCCCAAACAGGGTCCCAGAACAAAAACAGCTTCCTCATAACATAAGCCCGACGTGCTCAAACACGACGGTCTCAGCCAGCGACGTTCTGAGCACATCCCACAAGAGATTCGAAGAACGAGCACTCTGTGGTGGGCCTACAGGCAAGCCAGGCCGTTTTTCACCGTTTCCGAACAACGGCTCTTGACCATGGAAACGGCAAAAAACAGCGACGGGAAACGGCAAAAAACCAGCTCCAGGATTGGAACAAGGGACGAAACCGAACACAGAAGACGGCGTCGGCAACGGAAACAACGGCAAACCGGAGCCGGCGACAAGAACGGCAAAACGGAGCTGGTGCAAAGACGGCCCTGTCGCCTCCAGTGGGGGGCCACATGCGAACCCTACCCCTACCCCCCACGACTTCTGAGGGGGAGGGTGGGGCTCACTGCGTTCGGGAGCTCCCGAGCGAAGTGAACCCCACCCTCCCCCTCAAAAATCGTGGGGGGAAGGGGTAGGGTTCGCATGCGCCCCGAAGGCCGAGGCCACGATCTCTTGCAAATTACACCACGTTCGCACCCCCGAGGCCACGATCCCGTGTAAATTGCACCACGCTCGCGCCCCCGAAGCCAAGATACCTCGCAAATCGCGCCACAGTCGCACCCCCGAGGCCACGATCTCCTTCAAGAGGCCACAACAGGCGTCCAAGAGGCCTTCAAGAAGCCCAAAAGATACCCCACGAGGCCCGAGGAGGCCCCCAAGAGGTTCCCCAAATCCGGGGCCCGCCGGGGCCAGGCGGCCCCCCGGAGTGGGGCCCAGGGCGGGCGCGGACGCGGCGGGCGACGCCGCACCGCCAACGCATCGGGGCACCACTGCGAAGCACCGGCAGCGCACTCGGCACGGAGGGCCTCGGCCTCGGGGACTCGACCGCGCGCAGAGGCATCGGCGATCCCTCCTCCTCCTCCTCCCTCCCTCCCTCCATCCTCCATCCCTACCTCCCTCAGTCCCGACCTCCCTCATCCCTCCCTCCATCCCTCCCTCCATCCCTACCTCCCTGCAGCCCCTCGGCCAACGAAGACGGCTGCAGGGAGGGGTCCAAACGTACCTCCACCTTTATGCACCAGTCAACCATTACACCAGAAAACCAACTCCTCACATTCCTCCCTCCCTCCCTCCCTCCCTCCCTCCCTCACAAGGGAGAGGGGGGAAGGCTACTTAGAGGGAGGCTGCTTCTTAGAAGGCGTTGGCCTTACATCTGCAAACAAAGCCCGCGCCTTCTGAGAAGCAGGGGCGCTGCTGACAAGCCCAGCCCCCCTCCCCCCACCCCACTCTGCGCGTGGCCGAGCATCGGCGATGCGTCCCCCCCGAATGCGCTCTGGCTCCATCTAGGCGGCCTCGTGGTGAGGCCCGCGCTCGCCCGTTTCCTCCTCCTCCTTCCTCCCCTCCTCCTCCTCCTCCTCCTCCTCCTACTCCTCCTCCTCTTCCTCCACGAGATCGGCCCTTCTCCTCCTCCTCCTCCTCCTCCTCCTCCTCCTCCTCCTCCTCCTGCTGCTGCTGCTGCTGCTGCTGCTGATCCTCCTCCTCCTCCTCCTCCTCCTCCTCCTCCTCCTCCTCCTCCTTTTCCTCCTCCTCCTCCCCCAACTCCTGATCCTCATCCTTCGTCCACCCCTCCTCCCCCTCCTTCCCCTCCCCCATCCCGCACCCATCCCAGCAGCGAGCGCCCAGGAACGTCCCAGAGGTAGATGACGGTGGGCGGCACTCATCGCTTCTGCCGAGTCCGTCTTCCCTCGTCCCTCGCTCGTGGAGGTTTCGGTGGGGAGGAAGGGTGGGGAATCAGGTGGGTCGCGGGGAGACGAACGGGATGAGGGAGGAGGTAGAGAGAGACAGAGGGGAGAAAAAAAGGGAGGGAGGGAGAGCAAGGAGGGGGAGGGGGAAGGATGAGAAGGTTAGTTTACGGAGGACATGGGGAAGGGAGAAGGGGAAAGAGAGAGAGAGAGAGAGGGGAGGAAGAAGGGAGGGAGGAAACAAACGGGGTCGGTGAAAAGAGAGAGGGATGGGGGAGGGAGGAGGACGACCAGAGCAAGCCCAAGACGGATCAACTGTGCTGCAACACAGCCTCCCGCCCAAAGCCGCCTCCCCTCAAGTCCCGTAGCATTCACTTAAACACGGAAAGCGCCCCTAGAAGAAACACGCCTCCTAGGCCTGCCAGTCAGGCGACAACCTTCTCTTGAAAAGGAACCGCTTCCATCCTTCCCACTTCGAGCTGTGAGAACTGCCCCCCCCAAAAAAAGGTCACTGCGCTCAAGGAGGTGTCCAACGATTAGCCACGCTGAGAGGTGTCGCCCTCCGTCCGCGCACACGTGGCAACTCACGGGAGCCTACCATCTCGTCGGCTCTTGCGAGTCGGAGCTGATCGACGCTAGTCGACACCAGTCGACGCCAACCGACGTTACGCCGGCGCTATCTCATCCACCCCCAGACGCGAATCGACGCCAGTCGACGCCGAAGACGAAATTAAGAGGGCTCGATACTGCAGACTAGCGCTCGTGATTACCCATTCGAACAGTCTGCTTCCCAGCTCTGGAGCTTGCCTACAGCTCGAATTGAGTAGAATTGAGTAGAGAAAACCAACACCGCCTATCTAAAATTTGAAGAGCGGAAATAGTTTTGTAGTCGCAGTTCTGGTAGCATAATTACCAGGGTCCCATGATTTGCTGCCGAAGCCCTGCGCCCGCGGGGACGAGGGCTCAAACAAGGCCGCCCACTGCGACACAAGAGGTCCACGCCCCTCCGGCCGCGCAGCTGTCCCCCAGATAGGGGGCCACATGCGAACCCTACCCCTACCCCCCACGACTTCTCAGGGGGAGGGTGGGGTTCACTTCGTTCGGAAGCTCCCGAACGAAGTGAACCCCACCCCCCGCCTCCCAAATGGTGGGGGGCAGGGGTAGGGTTCGCATGTGGCCCCCTACCAGATGCCTCGCCTCCTGGAGAGTTGGACGCCATCGCAAGCGGGAGCCCCATGTTCGAACAGGGGCCGCACTCCGTGCGCGCGTGACTGCCAGAAGCGCTTGAAACGACTGCGCGCGGCGTCGAGGCAACACACCGCGCTGTGGACAGCGCGTGACCGGTGAAAACGCTGCGCGAATACCCGCAGCGCCACAGCGAGAGCCACACACGTTGCAATCAAGTCGACGTCAACCGTGCAAGTGCTGGAAGCTTTCAGTACGGTTCTGTGTCGTCAAAGCGAGAGACACATGTTTAGAGGAACACACAGGCCCGTGTAATGTTTGGAAGTTTGTAAAACGCTGGCGCGCGGCGCAAGGCGACGACCACATCTTGTTAAAACCGACAAATGAAGCATTCAAGCGGCCATCTCATGAATGGTGGGGAAGTCTCGAGCGAAATGCCGGGTCCGCACTACTGCGGCGAGGAGTTCTGCATCGGGAAGAAGGATGGGGGAGGGATCGAGGATGGAGCGAGGAGAGGGAGGAGGGAGAGGAGGGCAAGGAGGGGATGGAGGGGGGCGGGGGGAGGGGGAGAGAGAGAGACGGAGACGAGGGCATGGAGGGGCAGGCAGGAGAGAGGGGGACTGGGGGGAGAACGTAGCTGCCGGGAGGAGGGGGAGCTCGCGCGCTCCGCCACGGACCCCGGATCGCTCGTCGGCCCTCGGCGGTCTCCGCCTGCCCCTGCTGGCCCGGGGCGGCCCTCGCGCGGCGCCCCGCGCCGAAGCCGCGCGCCACGGGCTCCACACGAGGAGCCCCTGGCCGGGCTCCCGAAGGGAGGGGCACAGATCCAGGGGCCCAAGGACATGCAAATAAATACACACACACAAAATGCTTCCCCATATCTTCCCATATCTTCGGGGCTGTTGTCTTCCCGCCCAAGCCCCATATTTTCCTAGATTTTCTGGGGGATCGAGCGGGCGGGAGCGATGCGAGCCCCCCAGGGGATGAGCACGCACGCGAAGAGGATGCTGCGGCCGAAGCCGCTCTTGCAGTGCACGGCGATGGCCCGGCCCGGCGCCGCGCCCTCCTGGAGGGGAGGCCTCCCGGGCGGGCTCCGAGGCGAGGGGGCGTCGGCGAGCCGCGCCGCATCGCCAGGGCACCGGCCGCGCACCGCCCATGCCTCCGCGCTGCATCGGCGGCGTCGGCGGCGGTGCATCGGCGACGCCCGACGGGAGGAAGTCGGGCTCCACATCGAGCCACATCGCCGATGCATCGCCGATGCGGCGCGAGCCTCCGGCCTCATCTGCTCGGACCCCATCTGGGGGGCCTAGATCCTCACGCCGCGAAAATATACACGAACACCCGCCGACGAGGTGTCCCTGGGCCTTCAAGAGAGGGTGCTGGTGTATAAGACCGTCGGCTCGCAGCGGTGATTTATGCACCGCCATCCTCCCCATGAGGCTCAGGAACAATCCACTGGAGGGTGTCTGTGTTTGTACGTGTGTGGCGGACTCCTCCTCGGAGAAACCCATCTTGGCCGCACTGTCCAGGAAATGCTTGAGGATGCCTGCGGTCGGAACGGCACCCTGCACGTCGTCGAGGTAACAATCCGCGTGCTGGATGCCGTGCGCTTCCAGTTCAGTCGGCTTGTAGCTGCCTCCCAATGACTTTAGGCCAGGTTCATGGCTTCCGTTCGTCCGGATCACCGCCGTGACGTCACCTGCGGGGCCCACGAATATCAGCCGCTGGTAGATTCCGCCCCCCCTTCCCCTGCTCTTCCTGGAGAGGGAGAGGGGAGCACCACGGCCATGGTGTGAGTTTGCCTGCGGGGCCCCAGGTCACAGCTCTTCAGGTACGTGATGAAATCGACAGGCTTGGGCCACTTTGGGTCCAGTTCCCCTGTGGTCAGGAATTTCTTCATGACTTCTTGCCGGGCGGGCGAAAGGAAGGGCAGTGAAGCGGGGCCCAGTCCTCCGACGTCGCTTCTGGCCGTCATGGCGTGTCCCTCCAATCTCGGCAGCCCGCAGGCCGTTTTTTCGGGGCGACTCAGACATACCCAACGAATCGGATCGAGAGCGCCGAGGACCACGCGTTCGAACTCAGCAAGGCATCAGAGGTCTGTGGTCCATGCCTCCGATGCCTTGATTTGCCCCATACAATCGAAACGCTGTCTTAAGGAACCCTAAAGTAGGAACGAGGCCCCCTTTTCCCAAAAGTTGAACTTCGATTCCCCATCGAAGAACTCAGGAAAACCTCAGACAAACGGTAACACAATTAAGGAACACAGAGCTCCTCCCCAAACGAACAGGGCTCCTTCTTCAGCGGCCCGGCTCCGGGCGAACCCCAGCCTTCTTGATCACTCTCCGGGGACCAGACTTCCAGTTGCGTTCAGTCTGTGACTGCCCATAGCCTCAAAAACAAAGCAACAATAACTACACCTTGGGGACAAAGGGCATGTCCCCCTGCAGGCCGATTCAGATCTGGACGAAAAATAGAAAATTGTAAAACAGACTCATCAAAAGTAATAGAAAAATCGTCCCCAGATCATTGAGCATTCCTCCTGTGGAGGGACAGGCCCGACGTAATGTTAAGACATCGGAGGTCCGAGGGGTCAGCGAGTCGGCCGCGCGCTCTGCGGGCACCTCGAAGCCACCCCCCCAGCGTGCCCGTACATCGATGAGGCGGCCAGGCAGCGGCTCCTCCGCTTCCTTCCCCTCCTCCGCCCTCCTCCCTCGTCTCCCCCCATCCTCCCTCCCCCACCCTCCCTCTCTTCGCTCCCTCTCCTCCTCCTCCCCCTCCTCCCACCCTATCCCCGGAGGCCCACAAGAAGCCCTCGAAGCCTTCTGAAGAACCATAGAATGGGCGAGCAGTCTAAGAAATACGTCGGCATCCTCGAACCTCCTCGTCCTTCCTCGTCCGTCCTCCTCCTCCTCCTCCTCCTTCTCCTCCTCCTCTCCTCCTCCTCCTCCTCCTCCTCCTCCTCATCATCATCATCATCATCGTCATCATCATACTCCTCCTCCTCCTCCTCCTCCTCCTCCTCCTCCTCCTCCTCCTCCTCCTCCTCCTCCTCCTTCCTCGCCCCCCCTTCGCCCTTCTCTTACTCCCCGTGCGCGCGTGCTTGCGCAGGGCCTAAGGCAGCGGCGCGCAGCAGAGATCGCCGCCCCCAGCCCGCTTCGCACACCCCCTTTCGGGCGCCCCGGTCTTGGCTCACGAGGTCCACGTCGGGGGCCGCCGCTGGCACGCTCTCCGCGCCAGGGGCAAACTGGGCGCATGTGATGGGATTCGGGTCCCTGACGACGGTGATGGGGTCCGCCATCACGAACACTTTTCCTGGCACGACCCAGGCCCCGTCATATTGCATGATGGGCTTCCACGCGTTGGACGCTGCAGAGGTTGTCTTTGCCTCATTCCCCAACACGTCGACCGCAATCCATCGCTGGTCCCTTGCCAGCTGAACGCCGCTCCAGCAGTCGTGAACGCTCATGACCGGCTGGCCCCTCTTGGAGCGATACACTTCCGCCTGCACCCACGAGCACGGGAACGTGAGCGAGGCCACGTCCGACAGCTTCGCGGCCACCTCGTCGGCGGACATATTCTCGCACAGCACCAGGTAGGCGCCCAGAAGCACGGCGCTGTTACGCCGATTGTTGTTGTCATACTCGCAGAGGACACGCGAGCCGTCCTTCTCCAATCGAACTTTCAGCTCGTGTGCGAAGCGCAGGGTCTGGTCCAAGGCCAATGGCCCGAAGGCGAAGCCGCAGTCCTTGCTCGAGTAGTGGCAGACCTCGTATCGACCAGACCCCGCGAAGGGAAATCGGGGCACGTGAGAATGCCTTCAGACCGTCCTCACTTCGGCTCACCCCAGAAAGACGGAGTACTTCATGAGGGGGGTCGGCGGATGTGGAGCAAGCCTGCCAGATTGCCCCCCCCTGAAGTCTGGCTTGACGATTTGGCTAATGTCAAAGCGGACCTCGCTGGGCCAGTCCAGATCCTTGGTGCCCTTGCTCCCCCAAGCCAGCCTACCAGCGAGAACCTCCACCATCCCGGCGAGGATGTGGACAACGCTTGGACCCAAAGGTCTACACGAGTAGCCACATGAACATGGGCCTGACAACACGTACACGCATGAGGACACGATGCATCACAACGACGCCCTCCCAAACCTTCATACGTGAGTGGCCGCACACTCCTGATGCGCTGTCATCGGACGATGTTGTAAGGCACACGCTTGCCTGCAGGTACCAAGCGAACTCCATCGCAAACACACGCACGTACTGCACAGGATCAAGCATATGGCACACACCCGCTTCGCATCGCCGAGGCTGTGCACATACTAGAAGGCCTCACACACCCTACGCAAAGGCTCACGCACATGCGCGCGCGTGCGAATGTAGACGTACACAAAAGCCAACAGCACACACAAACACACAAGCACTTAAGTACGCCCCCCCAAACACACATACACACAAGCACACACACACACACACGCGCGCACGCACACAAAGACACACACACACACATGCACGCACGCACGCACGCACGCACGTACGTACGTACACACAAACGCACGCACTCACGCACGCACTCACGCATGCACGCGCACGCACGCACGCACGCACAAGCACACGCACACGCACACGCACACGCACACGCGCGCACACACACAAATCACACGCACGCGCAAGCTCACGCGACCACAACGCACACACACACACACACACACACACACACACACACACACACGCACACACACACACACACACACACTGTATGTTTGAAGCGCGGGCAAAACTGTCGACCCAGCCCAAGCCTAACCACAACAAACAGAGCACCTGGGAGCGACCCCGCGGCGCCGCGCGGAACCGTGCGAGGGGGCAGCGGGCGGAGCCTGGCACAGCTAGGACAAGCATGCAGATGCTTGCATTGCGGGCGAGATTCGTATCCGTATCCACTGCAGCCTGCGAGTCAGGGCTCCCTCCCCCAGAACACCGATGCGCCCTGGATGTAGAAGAAGATCGGCTTATGACTGTAGGGGGCCAGATTTGCATCCATATCCTGTGCGCCTCGGCCTCTAGGCGCACCCTCCCAGAAAGTCCACGGCGCAATGAAGATGGACATCTATATGTATATATACACATATACAGGTATACGTACATACATACATACATACATACATACATGCATGCATGCATGCATACATACATACATACATACATACATGCATGCATGCATGCATACATACATACATACAAACATACAGTCATACACAAGATTGCAATGGCGCTTCGCGCCACGCACTTTAGTCCTTCGAGTTTCGCACGCGGGCGGCGTGCACATGCGCGTGCGAATATGTGCACGCATGCCATACGCGCGCACGTGCATGCACGCCATACATATGTCAACATGTCGGTGCGTATATATATATATGTACAAAACACACGCATACCTACGAGTGCGGGTTTATTGATGTACGTAGATCTGTATACATATATGTATGTGTATAGATAGACTACATATGTATCACGTCTACTTGGGCATATCTACGTGTACACATATGCATGTTTACATACATGTACGCAGTCGTGGCCAACGAAGGGAGGGGGGCAGAAACGCAGTGACGGGCTCGCGAATGCTGAAAGACTTGGGTAGGAAACGGCATGGAGGACACGGCAGAATGTGGAACGGCGACCTGGGCTTATGAATGACAGTGTCTTTGGGACTATGGAAGGAGCCGTGTGACGATTTTGGGGGGCCTCGGGACCGTGTCGCAGCGGGGCTCGGTTATCACGACGCGGGCCCTCTTGAGCCGGTTTGGGGCCCTCTTGAATTCTGCTTGGCCGTCTTAGGGCGATCTTGGGGGCCTCGTGGGCCGTTTTGGAGCGTCGGGAGGCCGAAAAGGGAAGAACTCAAAAATCCTCCATGAAACAATGGACATTCAATTAATTTTGTCTCGTGGGGCCCTCTTGGGAGTGCATTGGAAGGTCTCTTGTGACGTTTTGGAGCGATCTCGAACTTCTGTGGGATCCTCGCGGCATCTTTTGGGACTCTTGGGAACCTCTTGGGGCTTCCTGGGGGCCTCTTGGGAGCCTCTTGAGCCCTCTTCGGGACCTCTTGGGAGCCTCCTGGGGCCTCCTGAGGCCCTGTCGGGACTGTCTCGGGGCCCTCTTGGGCCTGTTTGGGGCACTCTTAGAGGTCTGTCGGGCCATCTTAAGGCGATCTTGGGGGCCTCGTGGGCCGTCTTGGAGGTCAGGAAGCCGAACAGGGGAGATCTCCCAAATTCCCTGCAAACCAACAAAAAATAAATTAATTTTGCGTCTTGGGGCCCTCTTAGGAGTGCTCTTGGAGGCCTCTTGAGAGTTTTTGGAGCGATCTTCGAGGATATGACAGCTCATTTAGGGTCGTCGTGGACCGTATTGGGGCTCTCTGGGGTCGTTTCGAGAGCGCGCCGGAACGTCGGGGGCCCTCTGGGGCCATCTTCAGGCTCTCGTGAGGGCTGCCCGAAAGGGCCGGGTGGGCCAAATTCGTCAGGGGGGGGGTGCGGAGTTTCCGGGATCCCCAGCCTTATAAAATATATGAGTAGG